ATATATATATATATATATATCCCTTAAATGACAAAGGGAACCATATTCAATGTAAATGAGAATATAATCATTGAAGGAGAGACCGGTCAAAGCGTTCGACGAATTTGCAAATTACACCATAAACTTTATGTGAATTCGCGGCGGAAAACTTCAACGAGTACAACGTTCGTGTACTTTCTTTTCTCACGCGTGTCGACTTTCTTACAAGTCGAGCCCTTTTTTCGGTAGTGTATCTTCGTAATAGATATGGAACGATTTAAAATAGAAAAAAAAAAAAAAAAAAAAAAAAAAACATAGGAACCAGACTCGTATATATCGTCTGCCGTAACGCGTTCTATCTTCTAATAATTCCACGTGGACAATACACCACTCATAGATACATGTGCATGTACAATATTATTAGTTATAGGTAGAACATATCCATAGAAATAAATTATAAAACGTATATCGTTTATGTATATTGCTATAAAATATACTGTAGCTCGTTGATCATTGTATACTTGTTGTTTGATCGTGGAAGAAACATGAGATTGTTAACTGAAACAAAATCTAGAAGAAATATATGTGTCTTCGGATTCTAAGCTACTGCGAATGAGCACGGAAATTTACAAAAAGAAAAAAGAAAAAAAAAAAGAAAAAAAAAGAGAAAAAGAAAGAAAAAAACGGATCGTGTCGTTGATTGTCATTGCTTATTAGTAGAATCTCGAGCGCGAGATTGGATACAATTGAATTACATATTTTTCAATAAGAATACACGAAATTATTATATTATATCTCTGTGGTAGTGTTGTAGAACGTTCGAACTCGTAAACTCGTTGCTAAATCTGTATAATATGTATTATGTTAATTATAGATTACTGTATGTAGTAGAGGGGTTGTGACGAGATGAAATATGTATGAAAGAGGCGTTGAATTCGATGAAAGGCATTGCTGAAGGTCTATATATATGTATGTTCGTGTAAGACAGCTTTCCTCCGCGAATTCGGTGAATTTTCGAGGTTGCGTTACGTTGTCACGCGAGCGTCGACCTACTCCCGATAAGAAACGCGAGTCAATTCGATTTGCAAATTCATCGCGAACGTTTGCCACGATCGAGCGTACTTGAGGGGAAGAGAAAACAGAGCAGGGGCATCGTGTTCGCGAGTGTGGATCGAGATCACGAGCGATTTCCAGAACTGAAATGTAACGAGCTTTGAAAGAATTGCATGGCGAAAAAGAATGACGAGAAACGACGAAGAATTACCATTCTTGCATTAATATATACCGTTATAAAAATTATATATCTGTATCAATGTTACAATGGGATATATATTCTCGTTAAGAATCCTTTACATTTCTGTAAATATAGGAAAACGTACGTGTGTATTTAAGGGGACAATTATAACATTGGATGTAGTTAACATTCACGGGAGTGTCAACTTCATTGTTAATCGACAACGATTATTATTGCCAGCTTCTTTAATTTCTATATTCTTTCTCCTAGATAATAATTACAACCGATGCGAAGGATTTTGCCGCGTGATGATGTGAACCTCGAAGCATAATGTATAATCAATCCATCCGATGTTGTTACATTTCTGCAACGTTTTATCTTAGCGCTCTATGTCGATTGAATTGAAAATGATTGCTGCTATTGCAAACAGACAATAAGCGAAATATCGTGAAACTGGGAAGTTTCTTGGCACAACGAGGTCGTGAAAACAAACGATCTTCTTATCGTTATTTAATCAAAAAAACCTTCTCTTTGATGAATTGACGCGTACTTGATCGAACCGTTCAGGCTCGAAAGATTGTTGAATGCTGTTGGAAGAGCAGTCTCATTGAATTTAGACGGAACAAGAACGAACAATAGACGTCTTACATATATCTAAGTGTGCATAATTTTATCTCCAACCAGCATTGCAGGCATAAGTCACTAAAATAGGAAAACATTTCCTTCCTCCTGTCATTGTAACGTATATACATATATGTATATATATTTAACCAGCTGGTATATGGGTCCGATTTAATCTGCCTGTGTGTAGTCGTCGAAAAACAGCGAGACTCGAGAAGGAGAAAGGTACTTTTTATTCTTGGTAGCGATGAAATTGTATCGTGTATCGTGCGTATGTGTGTGTGTGTGTGTGTGTGTGTGTATATTTGCGTAAAGTTGTTCAAGTCGAATTCGAAGTAGGTGAAAACAAAAGTATGTATTCACGAAGGGAATATTATTATGTACGATGGGAATTAGAACGCGCGCGCGAATCGACTCTGAAAATCGTTCATCCAACGATATCCGAATGCGATGCTCCAAACATTTCGAATTTTAATCTTGTAAGATCGCTATAAACACGAGCTAACTTTATTTCAATGAAATGAGTGTTATTCGACGTTACTTGTCGTTGAAACGCATGATATATTTATGTGTGTGTTGTTCAATAATATGTATTTAAATAAACATTGACGTGTTTAACGTGAAAAATTAGAAAACAATATTAACATTTCCATAAATCCTTTGATTGTTAGATTAAATAATATTTTTTTTTTTGGTCATAGTGCATTCCAACATATTATAATACGTGTGCGTGTGCATGCGTGCGTGCGTACATAATATATTCATACACATATATACACAATATTTTATTTATTCTTTAGATGTCCAGGGTAGAAAAATATTTTGTTAGAGAACACGTATCAATAATCGACTACGTAATAATCTTCGACGGATGAGTCAGATTCTACGTTACAAACGAAAAGATTATAATATGGTTGCGTTAATACACACCGACTTTTTATGCAACTCACATATTATCTCATTAATAGCTATCATTACAAACAACTTTAATTGATAATTAACATTCAACAGCAGTATATACAAAAACATATTACTTAATATTATTATAATTATACTATTGCATTCGTGCATACCTATATTTACGGTATAAATATAAATAAATAAATATATGTATACAAACATATTATATATTTATTTATTTACATCTATATTTCATTTCTCAAATAATTACAATTGAATTAACACATTTTTATGCAATTACGTTGATAATTAAAATAATGAAACAGTGTTAATCATTGTCACCGAAGTAATTATCAAAGATGTATCACTTTTCACAGTAGAACGAGTCAATGTATCATTTTCACGCTTCAATGACAAAATTAGAAATCAGTTTATTAAGCGAAATAAAAAATGATTACCAAATTCGCGACATACGATGATTCGACCTAAGTATATGCATGTCTTCCCCGTTAACTTAAGCATTATATATTATTGTATCACAGTAATCTAAAAATATATAAGTCTAGCATCTTCTGGATTTTGTTCTACTGGGCAATATGGGCATTTTAATCTGAAAAACAAAATTCAATGGGTTTATAGTTTATCAATCTTCTTTGCTTTTTGTTATGTTTTTCCTAAATGGTTTTAATTTTCAATTTAATTCGGCTTTTTATTAAAATACATACTTATTTGCATTTGTAAGTTTATTTAACGCATCTCTTGAAATAACGTGACCACAGACTAATTTCATTGGTGGATTATTTTCTGTACTTTGTTGCCTCAAGATTGGACATGCGAAAACTGAATGATAACGACCGTCTTTACCGAGATCTATTTCGATCTGTTAAGGAAAATGTTTGTTAAGTAATACATTTCTCTGTCACTTATCCTTTCTATTTATTATTTATTTTGCTTACAGGTAATTCGTCCTTTCCATTCCAAACAGTATTCACTTGTCTTTGCTGCATAACTTGTTTAATATTTAAAAGTGTTGGTAAAGCAGTGCACCCTGCGTTAATGCTAAAACGTAACGTTATAAGATTTTTTATCATTTATGTATTTATTTTTGCGTTTGGCAATATAAAAAATGAAAAAACATACCATACAGATAGAGGACTATCTACGCTTAAACCAAATAATGTGCAAGCTTCTCTTGTGAATACATCGTGAATATCTAACCATAAAGTAGGATCTAATAAATGACTGTAAGGAGAAGATTGTATTCCATTTGGTAAATAAAGTAGTGTGCCCATTAAAGCTTGCACCTCTTTTCCGTGTCGTCCGACATATTGCGTAAGATTTTGACGAGCATAAGTTATTGCTTCAGTTTGTTTGCTAGGTCCTTGTTGAATCAGTCTTATAAAATGTAACCTATGAAGCTTAAATTCAAGAGACGAATTCTACAAACAATGTTTAATGTCAGATACATTTGTATCAAAATGTTATTCAAGTAATGATAATAAGTGATGTGTATACTTGTGCTAAAAGTGCCTCCCTGTGTTTTTTGGCCCAATCAAGCGCTGGTTCTAAATTTCTTTGCTTTAAACAATCCAGTATATAATTTAATTCTGTAAATGGCTCTTTTGTACCTTCATCTGTTTTAATTCCAGCTTCCTATAACAACAGATCCATTATGTATATTTTTATTCTTATTTTAACAATTTATTAGATTAAATACATTATATTACAGACTTACCGCTGCTAATTCTGCTGCAATATCTAACATGCCGTGACGATAAAAATGTTGACAAATAACTTGATTTAAAAGGTGTGATTTTTCTGGCCCTGAGAAAACATCTTCTCTACTAGTACTTGCAAAATCTGCAGTGAAATTTCTGTCAATTGCTTTTCCTACTTTTGAAACAGAACCATGTAGCTCTCTGTGTTCTGTGGTTAAACGATGCACAGTTTCACAAACTTTTTTCATTGCCTCTTTTAATATTTGCACTTGTCCCGGTGTTAACTCATGATTGGCTGGTGCTAGTGAACAAAGAACTCAATTCTTTCACATGGAACGTTGTCAATAGTAAGTACAAGATTAAAATCTATCAAAGTACTATGTGAGTTAAAACTACGTAAAAAATTATTCAAAATGATTAAGAAATATTTTGAATAAAAAAAGATTATAAATAACAACTGTAAAATGAAAGAGGTTAGAATTTGCTAGGACAATACGACAAGAAAATGGATAACATAAATATCTTTCAGGTTAAGTTTCTCCAGATCTATATTCATGTTTACCGTAAAAAATTTAGAATCCTCCAGACTCACTTCTACTTTCTTATATTTACTAACAATACCACAATTTTTAAAAGATGTAATTTTTTTTATTCATAGATTGTCAACGAATAATGACATTATACGTAGAGGGAAAGTTTTCAGTTTACCTTCTGCAAATTCCTTTTTCAAAGATTCAATATGATTTATTAGATCTTGTAGTACTGTCTCTGCATGTTCGTTTACCACTCCAAATTTTAATAAAATCTTGTCAACTTCACGTTCAACGACATTACACGCCTCCATTATTGTTTTTCTTGGTGATATCGCGTCACTACTTGTCACTTTTGCTTTATGCACAAATCACACAGGCAAGGACGTACACAGTTATAACCTTTCGTATTCACATATAAGAATATGTATACATGTGTATGTATGCGCGCGCGCTTCTCACATAACGTACCATACATATTATTTTCGTGTGTGATATCGATTCTTTCATTTATTAATACAAGATATGTAAAATTAATATCAATTTTATATGAGAAGTTACGGATCGAATAAAAAAAAAATAAAATAAAATGAAACAATGCATCTAATGAATAAGTAATATTTAACATTAAACTTTATTTAAACATGAATTGTTTTATTCTTATTGTATTGTTGTTATCATCACTATTATCACTGATACATAATATACATTATTCCTTTTACAATGCGACATTACACTAAAACAATATTTTACATTAAATGAAAATATACAATTGTTATAAAATATATATTAATTCAGTTTATCAGAATGTTTGTTAATACTTGATGCAATATTTTTAAAATATCCGATATTAACAAAAATTTGAATTTGTCTTTCATTGTATTTCATTAGTCATACAACTTTTTGAAAACGATTTCATATACCTATGATAAATTCTTTATTGTCTCTATAATTATTCTACTGTTGATTCAAACTGGACTTGACTCTGTAACAAACACATTTGTTATAAGAGTAGTTCATCATAATTGTATAAATAATGGTATTATTGCAATAAATAATATGATTACCCATTCTCGTGCCATCATAAGAATTGTACTTTTGGGTAATTTTGGACCAATTAAAGGATTCATTTGAGCCATGTAACAACATAACCAGCTGTAAAAGCAAATAACAGGCTGTATGGTATTTAACAAAAAATTTGGTAAAATACTTTGATATTTATCAACTTACAACAACCAACATGTAAATGCTGTCAATATGAGCATAACCTGAAGAATTCTGCAAGGAAAGAAGCAAGACTTATTGTTGTTGTTAATTAATCTAATATTTTATTTTTTCTTTAAATAAACACAGATTAGAATATTTGCACAAAATATTTTTCAATGACAGAACACATACCCACGATTAGTACCTTTGGGAACAAAAATTGGTAAGACAATTCCTACTATTCCCCACAAAAATGTAAAAAATAAAATTGGTAATAACGATGCTCCCATTTTCTTTGTAATGAATAATTTCTTTATATCTTTTAAAAATGGGTTGAACCCACCAGGTAATCAATTTACTACTGTAAATGTGAATCACGTGAATATCTCGATTTACTTCACAAACACACTCGTTTTACAAACGAGAATTGCGAGATACGATAGATCGCGTGGACGATCTCGATATGACACATAGTTCGTGATTAAGTAACAATCGAGATTGATGAAGAATCGAAATTAAAAGGCGGTTAATTCAAAAACATTTTTTTATTAATGAAAATTTTATAAATCTTAAAATTCATGAAAAACATTGAAATAGAACTTAGGTATAAGTAAAACTTATATCTATTTCTCTCTCTCTCTCTCTCTCTTTCTGTCTTTCTCATTTTCTTGTTTTGAAAGTATTGTTTTGAAAGTATTGTTTTTAATAGAATCACTTTAAGACACTGTATTTCAATAGCGAACCTTTATGTTTTTTAGTTGACATATCTAAATTCAATGAAGATCGATATTCTTTTTTACCAACATAATTCATAATGGCAATATTTAATCTCCAAATAATCGTTCTTGTGTTATCTCTGTACTTTTACTCAAACGTTGAGTATCGTCATAAGTTTTCGGTATATCCACAATTGACGGTCCGTCACCTCCACCAATCGTAGAACATTGATCCATTTTACCAGTTGTAATTTCCGATTGTGTTTCGATGCATTCAACTAACGACTCTGTTAAACGTCTAACAGACTTTTTATCTGATTCTTCAGTATCATGTTGCGTTTTCTCAACATGATGAGACTTCGATGAAGTTGCGGATAAATTTGTACAAGAAAACACAAATCTCTCTAAAATACCTGGAAATTTTATTATGCCAACAATATTAAGGATTAATTAAAATAGAGATGTTTTTGTATTCATGTACATTACCTGTTAAATTTATACTCTCCTCAGACAAACAAATATCATCATGAGAACTAATACTATCTCTGCTAAAAAGATGTTGCCTGATGCTAGTTAAATCGCGTGATTTTAACTTAGTGTCTGTTAAGAATCGATTAAGAGAATCATTTCTGTTTGGTGTTTTATACATAACCGAACGTTCGGTACGCATTTCGCGTCCTTTTTTAATATAGGGTATCAAACAGGATAAATTCAATTGTTTTCTAGAAACACTATTCGCAGTCTGTATAGATAGAGGCGATTTGCAACTGCTTACTAAAAAAATGTACAAGATGATAGCAAAACATATAAGAAAATCAACGTATTCGTACAATAATATTCTAACTACCTGTATAAGGAGTTCTTATATACACTAAAGGTTTTTGTTGATGATGATCGTTGAATAATCCATAAATCGTGGATGCAAATTTGTTACTTACATCTAACAAAGAAAAGAAATATACTTGAAATACGAAATAAGCTGTGTAATAGTAAAATTAATTAATAACTAGAAAGAGGCTAACGCACCGTGAATAGAATCACCTTGTCCCTTACTATTTTTTCCGTAACTTGTATTCATCAACGTTGTATTATTCATAATAGTAACTAAAGCGGGATGTAATCGTTTTACTACATTTAAGATTAATTCACATCGTTTTATCACTCGCAATTGCTGTGGTTCTGTAGCATTCTCTACTAACAGACTTTTCGAGGCAGCATCGGCCTCGAATATTGCTTCAAAATAACAAAAACGATTACAGAGTTTCATTTAATAAAAGATGAACTTAAACATTTTATAATAAATACTTACCGGCTTTTAATTCTCTAATCATCATTATTGTTTGTCTTTCAACAACATCGCTCCCAATATCGTTTATGGTGATAGTGATTTGTCGAGAGAGCGACAAGGATCGAAGTACAACACTTTGTACTTGTGCTTGAGTAACTGGTTTCCTATTGTCGAGACAATTTGACATTACTGAAATACGATCCTGAAGATCGTCTAATACTACCTAAATGGTAATAAATGACATAAACACATTTTGTTCAATGTGTATTTTCAATGTCTATATATGCATTTTGTTAAGTGTGCATTTTCAATGTCTATATATGTATAGAATACCTGACAATAAGCACCCGAATCCATAACCAAATTAATTGCATCATGCAATTTATTGACTTCTAATTGCCATTGTCCAGTCAACAGCTTTACATTTGCTCGCATTTCTTTACTCTCTGGATGTAGGTAAAATGTGGTAATGGCAGAAATTAATTCGGTTTCCAAAGATTCAAGACTTGCCAAACAATTTCGTATTTGATTAATCCCTAGGATACAGTACAAATTAAAAAAATGACGAATAATTACCAAAACACAGATGTGAATTTCGTATTAATTAATAGAAAATGACTTACGATTTTTATCTTTACAAGAAGCGATAGCAAATAATCCAATTTGCATGGATTTGTCTATAATTTGATCAAAATCTTCTATAGCATTGGATAAATCATTTTTAGATCGTTTTTTAGCACTTAATGAATTGCCGCAGATCGTAACAAGTTTTCTCAGAGCATGAAAGGGATCGCTGAAAACTTCCATAACAAGATTCAATACCGACACATTAATTTTTCGTTCTAATCGATAAAGTGCATCAGTCAAACTATTCATGAACAAATTATTTAATGCTGTATCAGACGATTCGGACGTTAATTGGAATTTTAAATTCTCATATTCTGATATAATCGATTGACAAGTTCCAGTTATTGCTTTAAAATTACAAGGCTTGCAGACTTGTGCAATTGCCATTGCATAAGAAAATACATCTTCTATTCTAAACCATAACTCTTTACATTCTAGTATTTGATCTTGTTGTGATTTATTTTGCATTTCTGATAAAATATCCAATACCAAGTCCATCCTAAATGTAAAGTAAAATGTGAAGTAGTCCTTGAAAACAATTAGAATTAATCAATTAGATTACCTATAAACAAAATGATTTTCTTGTTCAAATGCTTCATCCTCAGGTAATGAATCTGATACATCCAATATTTCTATTATCATCTTCAAGCAAAAGCAGAGTCTTTCACAGACATATTTCTTGCAATTCTATGCGAATAAAAGCATAAGTGTCCTATTAGAGTAAGCTTGCTGGTGCTTTTAAAATGTAGAGATCATAAAACATTTTATTACATAGATTGATGTGTTTAGCCGGTGTTGCTCTTGTACTAATTGTACTAACAGTTTAAACGCCGCACACAATTGACACAAGTACAATATAATCTTTTCAGCTAATGATTGACACACTAAGCTTTTTCTATATATTTGTAATGGCCCAAGCAATTCCAAAATGGAAGTACCTAATTCCTGGTAATATAATATGATTAGGATAACTGTAAAGAACAATAT